ACACCCTTTCACACACTCTTTATCCCACAACATTCAGAACTTGTTCCAAATGTCACCAAATCATCATGTTCAGCACGACGGCAGTAAGGACTAATGTGAAATATCAGAGCATCACAGTCGCAGGTGTCAGCGTGTGGAACGACTGTGTAGATGAAGTGAAAAGAACATCAATACACATCTGTTTAAAAACATTGCATCCATACGGGAAATGCTGTTCTCAGTGATCGAGGTGTCTCACTGTATTTTAAGATCGAGGTCCAACATCTCTAAAGTTAGAAATATCCTGTCTTAGAGTGACGCTGAAAAACTAGTTCATGCATTTATTACTTCCAGGCTGGACGGCTGTAATTCATTATTATCAGGATGTCCTAAAAACTCCCTGAAAAGCCTTCAGCTAATCCAAAATGCTGCAGCAAGAGTCCTGACAGGGACTAGAAAGAGAGCAGATTTCTCCTGTTTTGGCTTCCTGTTAAATCCAGAATTCAAAATCCTGCTCCTCACATACAAGGTCTTAAATAATCAGGCCCCATCTTATCTTAATGACCTTGTAGTACCATATCACCCTATTAGAGCACTTCGCTCTTCAATATTAATACTATACAAAGAATAAAACTACTTCTACTAAATGTAAAACTGGAATCCCATTTTCTCAAAGTTCTGCTTCTTTGGGATGCAGAACTGTACTGGGATCCCCACGTTGGTAAGAATACATCACATGAACAAAGGAGTGAATGTTGGCAGCGTAGTGAAGCAGAAAACGTTGTTGTAAGACTATTTTATTAACCTGCCTATCAATCTGTTTTCCCTCTTCATGCCTTTTCCTCTTTTTCCTTCCCTCTTCTCCTTCTTCTCACCACCATCTGTTTCTTGTCCTGCAGCATTCCTGTTCTTCCCAAGAGGATTCTGACATGTGGTTTTAATGAACTAACACGCAGTTACTTTTATCTTTCCCTATCTCATTGTGTTCTCTGTTCCCCAATGCATGAGAGCCTTTCCAAACAAACAGCACATACACACACATACGTATGTGGGTCTGTGCATAGCCTTTTTCTTTTTTAATCTGCTTTATCGTCCGGTTGGGTATGTTTTTATTTTTTTAGCCGCACTTGGTTTATGTTTTTAGTGGGATTAAGAATAAATCTGACTTTGAGTTCTGACCAGAACAGAGCTGATTTTTTTGTTTGTTTGTTTTTCTGGCAGAAAAGAGAAATCGGGAAGAATAAATCCCAGAACAGCAAAAGTACTCTAACAACTGAACGTTTGGCAACATCATAGCGTGTTCCTATTGTTCTCCATTTGGCCTCCAGATTGTGCCCCATGTCTTGTAGACAGACCCCACTTTGTGATTAGTAGACTTTACAAATTTGGCAATTAGTGACTCATCATAGTTCTGATCTTCATATAAGCATAAGACAGCATGCAGATGTCTCTGTGTAGCATACTGAGTACCAGGTAAGTGTGCAGGTTAAAGACTTTGTCTGCAAATGAAGTGGTCTCCTGTTTACTCCTGTGTATCCGAGGATTTCCTTTTCACAGTGGGAGAGTTTCTTTTTAATGTTTTGTAAAGATTTCAGGTGCATGTGTTTGTAACAGTTCATCATATTTATGTTAACCTGAATCATACTGTTACACTGGTTTTATTGTTTCATATTTGAGAAGCGCTTTACGCTACATCCAGTCATCCACCAATTCTTACACTGGTGTGATGTTTAGGTTAGTCTACCAGTAGCACTTAGTGAAGCTCTTAGTCTCATTGTTATTTCTGAACTGTTTGAGAACTGATTCTCACCTGCCTGTGTCCACATTTGTGTGGATATACTGTCCATACTGCAGTTTGATATACTGTTTCCTGTCTTGCAGTGACATGGCTTCTGAGGGAGCAAGGTTACGTCGCCTCTTTGCCTGGTTTGACCCTGAGAGTGTTGCGGTGAGATTTAGACACAACTAAGCTGCTTGGCTGAAGCTCACTTGTAACTTCATATATATTATTCAGTGGTTGTCTTTTGCGCAGGTGCTCACCATCCTGTTGGGGCTGTTCCAGGTGCTGTTCTCTGCCCCGTTTGCTTACATTGACCAAAGTCTTCCAAAACTCTTCATACTGCCACTAGTCTTAGGAATTGTGGTATGTACTTCATGATTCCTCCACCAATTTGCAGCCATAACGTAACATTCACACACATTCACACTCTGATGGACGCTTCAGAGAACAACTTTGGGTTAGCATCTTGCCCAGGATCTTGACACTCAGACTGGAGGAGCCAAGCATTGAACCACCAACCTTCCAATGTGTAGATGTCCTGCTCTAGGGCGTACGTTCAGAACCTGAGAGCAAGGCTACACCCATATGGGAGATTGTCCCGGGAAAATTTGCTTCAGGCCCAGGAACGTCAGCAGAGCTTGCACAACAGAGGGGCTAGGCTCAGACAGTTTTTGATTGTATTGCTTCTTTCTTCTAGCTCAAGGATCCTTGCTAAGTGGCAAGGACCCTTTGTGGTCACATGGCGATTGGGTGATCTTGACTAATAAGTAGTGCGATCGGACAGGGACATGCAGATATACCACTAAGTCGAAGCGTATAGAGAGGCTGGACAACCCTTCTCACTCCCAAAGCGTAACATTTTACGCTAGGTGACAAATCGTCACCATATTACGTTTTCGGCTACCCACCACGTTCCTAAATGACGACCTCGGAAAAAAGAGGACATATGAGAACCGTCTGGACTGAATCTACACATGTTCGCTCTTTTTTTCAAATCGCTTAGAAACACGCTATTTAACATCATTAAAGTCCTGGATAAGATCAGGAATAAGGTTATGGTCAGGGCTAGGGATAAGGTTAGGTTTAGGGCTGGAATACAGGGCTGGAACGTCTATTACTGCGGGAGCATCATTGCACTGGATTCCAGCCATAACCCGCCGCGTACCATAAGAACGCCGAAGGTCTCCTTTCGCGTTCCTCAGGAACGCCGCGGGACGTGACAAAACGTCGACATGTTACGCCTTGGGAGTGAGAACGCTCTGGGCTGGAACAGCTTCTCAGATGAGACTGGTGAAGGAAAGATGAGTCGTCAGAGGTGCCAGATTCGACCATTCCTGTCTTGCTCCATTGTGATGACCATCTCACACAGGCCCACATAGCAGATGTTGCTGTACTGCAACAGCACTTTGCAGATGTGTTCTCCCCCTGCCTGGTTGTACTACACTCATAGAGCACTGTTGAAATGTGCTCTGGCGTGGTGGTGCAGTCACGCACCTATTGGTTACCTGAACATGTAAGACAAATTTATCAGAAGGAGGTGGCGTCTATGCTGGAGGTGGGAGTGATAGAGCCCTGCAGTTCCTGGTGTTGCTCCATAGTACTTGTGGTGAGGAGAAATGGGTCTTTATGGCTCTGTGTGGGATACCACAAGCTGTCAGGTTGATGTTTATTCCAAGCCCCAGTTTGACAAGCTACTGGTCCAGTTAGGCACTGCTTGTTTTTTCACAACGCTGGATTTGACCATGGGCTACTGTGTCCGGGAGTCCCTGAGGCAGGAGGGCTCATAGCCAACCCAAAAAGAAGTGAGCACATTGATGGAGGGCGGCACACTATCTGGGGCATCACCTGGGAGGCAGGCAGGTGCGCCTGCAGACAGACAAAACTACAGCCATCGTCCCAGAACCAAAAAAGAGGTGAAGCAGTTTTTGGGTCTGACTGGCAACTGCTGCTAGTTCATGCTTAGTTTCGTGGTGCAGACCAGCAACCTATCTGATCTCACTCACAAAGATGCCACACACCCAGGTCAGTGGATGTGTAGCCGCTAAGGCTGGTAGGCCTGCTGTTGACTACACCCGTCGCCTCCCCCTCTAACTCTTCTTGCTGTTGGGACTGCAATATAAATATCAGGATAAAACAAGTATGATCAAAACAACATAAACCATAAAATAAACACAAATTTCCACTTTGTGACAGATCCCACACGGCATTTGACCAGTTCCCTGTGGGGAACCCCTACTCCACACCCTTACTTTTCCTTCCCTTTTAATAATAATAATAATAATGGCATTTATATAGCGCTTTTCAGGGCCCTCAAAGCGCTTTACAATACCACTATTCATTCACTCTCACATTCACACACTGGTGGAGGCTACAGGTGTAGCCACAGCTGCCCTGGGGCAGACTGACAGAAGCGAGGCTGCCATATCGCGCCATCGGCCCCTCTGGCCAGTTTTAATCTGTAGATGGATGCCTCGAACAGAAGCCTGGGGGCCGTTTTGGGTCGACAGCCCTGTTGTCTACATTAGCCCAAAACTGTCTGTGAGAGAGGCCAGAGAAGGAGGACTGAGTTCACCTCGACTGAAAAGACACCGCAGTATAAAATCATAATTATTACTGTGGTTGTTGTCATTGTGGCTAATAGGAATAAATGGACTCTCACTTTTGTTGTGGAAGTTTTCCATTCAAATAAAGGCTGCAGACGAGCGGTGAGCGGTAGCTAACGTTCTTTAATCAAAACACAAAGAACAGACAACCAGGCTTGATGAAGTCCCTGCATGACCGCGGGACAGACGGTCAGCAGAGTCTGAGCCCAGCATGGCTCTCAGTTAAATACCTTCTCCAGGAACAAAAGGCAGTACACAGCTGTTTCACACTCCCTTGCTGCCTCCCAGAGTCCTCAAAGACACAAAAGACTCTTCCTGAGGAGTTGTCTGCTTCCCCCAACTTCCTTACTCCACCCCCACCATTTGTCTTACTGTATGAGTGTGAGACATGTTAAAATCCAGTGGCACCAAGGCATCATACAATAAAATGATGTGATTAATACATAAGTAAAAGAAATTCCCATACAGCCTCCACACACTGTGTGCATCGGGTCCTTGCCATAATGTAACTGACTTCATTATGGCAAGAATCAGATTGTTGCACTTTTGGGGGAGCATCAGAATCAGAATCAGAATCAGAATCAGAAAGGGTTTTATTGCCAAATGTTGAGCGGGTTTACAACATTAGGAAATTGCTGCGGTGCTTCAGTGCAAACATACTGTTATAAATACTGTTATAAATTAAGCTTAAATAGACATGAAAATAAAAATGAGAATAAGAATTAAAAGAGATGAGACTGAACATCTTTTAATCTCAAATGATTGATTTAGTCCCTCACATTAGACCAGTTCTGCTACTAACTGGAAAGTAGGTGCTTTGATTTCTCGTGGCTCCAGCCTGCAGACTAAATTGTCTTTTGGCCTGCAGCCTGATGGGAACAAACAGAGTGTACAAAGTGTCCTTTGGAGTGGGTGTATGTTGTATATGAAGCACTTGGGTAGAAAAAAGTACTTGAATGAGGCATGTTGTATAAAGTGCTTTAAGTGATCAAGTGCAGTAGAAAAGAGCTAAAAAGTTGCCCATTGCCTGCATATACACACAGTACGCATGTTGTTTTTGTTCAGGGAAGGCCTTGTGTGAATCCTGTCCTACATGTTGGAGTACATGTAGGACATGGTGCATCATAAGAGTTCATACAGTAAAGGAGGCCACAAACTGTAGAACAACTGGAATCTCTCATCGTTCAAAATGGAAAAGCTTTTGATTTTAAAATATTTTTGTAAGTTGAATTAAACCATGTGCTGTGTGTACCCCCCGCCCCAACAAATGAAAGAATTCCTTAGTTCGAGGATTTTGTTCTACTCTTTCATATTTGACTTGTACACTGTTTGATTTGTGCGCTCCTGCTTGCTATCATTTATCATTGAAGCAACATTAACCTTCCAGTTATATTTCTTGTGTGTCTTGCAGGTTATGGCAGGGGGGTCCTTGACAATGGCCAATGAAAAGAACCCTAGCAGACTACTAGTGAGTTGGCATGAAATGCTAATGTGAAGGTCAGATTGAAAAAAAAGGGAACAAAAAAACCAAACTCAAAAACTAAAATATCACATTAGATGGGTTTTCTAACAGCAAATACACTGCTGTGTGTGTGTGTGTGTGTGTGTGTGTGTGTGTGTGTGTGTGTGTGTGTGTGTGTGTGTGTGTGAGAGAGAGAATCCTTGGCATAACTGGGATTGAGCACTCTTGTTTTTGCGACGTAGCCTGAAAGACCTCAAAAAGTAACGGCAAGCATCGAACTAAAGAAGCAGCTGAGACAATAGTCATCGATGTCTGTCGGTCTAGACCAGGGGTGAGCAATTCCAGGCCTCGGGGGCCACAGTCCTGAGGTTTTAGATCTCACCCTTGGTCAACACACCTGAATCACATGATTAGTTCATTACCAGGCCTCTGGAGAACTTGAAGACATGTTGAAGAAGTCATTTTGCCATTTAAATCAGCTGTTTTGGATCAAGGACACAACCTGCAGGACACCGGCCCTCGAGGCCTGGAGTTCCCCACACCTTGTCTAAAAGTGTTACAAAGACATTTGTAATGCTTTGGGACTCCAGTAAACAACAGTGAGAGCAAAATTGCTCCAAGAAGCCAGAACATCATCTACAGACCTGCAGGCCTCACCTGCCTCAGTTATAAGACTGGGCAAAAATGCATGGGCATAGGCTTAGGAGGAACCCAATGCTGACCAAGAAGAACACAAAGGCACTCAGGTTTCCCAAAAACATCCTGATGATGCCCATTCGATGAGGAAAAAGCTAAAGTGTTTTAGTCCTGTTGCATGTGGTGTAAAATCATTACATTTCAAAAACACAGTTTTTAAAGTAATGATACTCAGGTTTGTGTAATCTTAAAATTAGTTTGTTCTGAAACATGTAGAGTAAGTATAAGAAACATGCCAAAAGACTAAGACTGCTATCATGTCTCACAGTGTCCCAATACCTGATTACATTCCTGATAAAATGAGCATTTTTTGTATTACATAATCTCGCATGATTAATAAAATCACTGTCTCCTCTGCAGCTTCAAGGTTGTGTCTGCAGCAATGTGGTTGGTCTGTTGGGGACGTTGCTTGCTTTCGGCCTGTATTACTACACCCTCCACACATCACCCAGAGAAGTCACATGCTCGGATGACTACTACTCGAGGGGTTGCCTCCCACAACTACTGGCAGTCAGTGTCATCAGTTATGTTTTGGTTTTTCCCCTTTCACTTATTTTGACACATTGATCTCTTTTCATTTTCCCCCTTTCTAATCCTAAAAGTCCTGTGGATTGTAGTACAGCCTGTCTCTCTTGTGCTCTGCAGGACTACTCCTGGAGTGTGACGCTGCTGCTGCTGCTCTTTGACACCGGTGCTGTGGTCATGCACTGTCTCCTCTCTATCGCCGCCTTCAAAACACTGAAGACAAACTGAGACACACAAACCAAAACCACTGTAGTAGTCATTCTACTTTGGTGTCCTGAGCTTGATTCCTGGTGTAAGAAAACTTAATGGAATCTGACTTTTCCTTTACTGACAAGTCAGAATATCTACTGATCCCACCCTCTGTACAAACAACTACTTTCACTATATCTTATGTTTTGTAACCACTGTATAACAAAGACCCTCATTAATAAATGTGATTACTGGTTGTCACTGTATTATGTGGTCTTCATAGGTTGACCTCTTTGTGAATGGTAGCTTGGTTGTACTAAAGTTACCATCTAATTTTCTGTTGAGCTCCTGGTGATGGGGAGGCCTAGCATTGCACACACTGTTCCCTTTTCCCAGCTTCCAGTCTGCTTTCAGTAGACAGATGGCCTCACTGTTAGTCTTCAAACTTTTGTTGATAAAACCTTTAGTCAGGGCTGAATCATGTGACCCTAACCCATACATCAGTTATGCTGTTACATATTTTCATTTTCAATATCTTTCCTGACTTATATTAAATAGTTATCACATTTTTTTCTAAACCCCGCGTCTCTGTGGCTTTTAAACCCCAAAACACGCTGCGCCAAAAACTGGTCCACCCCAAGGATCGGGTCCCCCGACACAAACAGAGTAACATAGTGTACGCTGTTAAGTGCAGGAGGATTGCCAGGATTTATACATCGGGGAAACCAAACGACCTCTGGCGAAGCGGATGGCACAACACAGAAGAGCCACCTCATCAGGCCAGGACTCTGCAGTCTATTTACACCTACAGGCCAGTGGACACTCTTTCAATGATGAGGATGTATCAGGGCGGAGTCAAGGAGGCCATTTATGTGAAAAGGGAAAGACCATCTCTGAATGGAGGAGGGGCCTAAGGGTACATCTGTCACCATCTCCTCCTCCTCCATCCCAGACACCACAGATCTGCTCCAGTTCACCTACCGACCCAACAGATCCACCGAGGACGCCATCGCCCACGTCCTGCACACCACCCTCAGCCACGTGGACAAGAAACAGGGTAACTATGTGCGAATGCTGTTTGTTGATTACAGTTCAGCGTTTAACACAATAGTGCCCTGCAGACTGTTCACAAAGCTCAGGGATCTGGGACTTAACAGCCGTCTGTGTGCATGGGTGTTGGACTTCCTCACTGGCAGAACTCAGGTGGTGAGGGTGGGCAGGTGCTTCTCCAACAGCATCACCATCAACACAGGAGCACCTCAGGGATGTGTCCTCTCACCACTGCTATACTCCCTCTACACTTCAGACTGTGTGGCCACCCATGGCTCCAACACCATTGTGAAGTTTGCTGACGACACAGTGGTGTTGGGTGCCATCTCCAACAACGATGAGACGGCCTACATGGATGAAGTGAAGAATCTGGCATCGTGGTGCCAGGACAACCACCTCCAGCTGAACGTCGGCAAGACCAAGGAGCTGGTGGTGGACTTCATTTTTTTTTTTTTTTTTTTTTTTTTTTTAAATGACATCAGAAACAGCAGTATGCGACATTACGTGATGGCAGAGCTTCAGTTCATCCTTTGTCATTTTTTTTTTTTTTTTTTTTTTTTTTTTTTTTTTTTTTTTTAAATAAATAGGACAGGGGGAATGAATGAGAGAGAGAGGGGAGAGAAAGAAAGAAAACCCAAGGGGAGAAGAGACGGTGAGAGGGGGGGGAAGAGAGACAAAAAAAAAACAAAAACTCCTGGGTCACCTGTATGGAGAAAAAACAAACAAACAAACAAACAGAGGAGACAGCAAACAACAAAGAGCAACATAATAATAGAGAAAACAAAGCACCATCACAATAAACTAGCTAGTCATAGATATCAGTATTTACTAAGTAATAAACGATATTGTGCAGCACGCAAGATAGACAGCGCACAGTGTGCTTTGAGGCAGCAGCCAAGAAAGCTTTAGTCCGCGTCTGTGAATACCCATGTGTGCATACCTGTGTGGATCAGCATGCTTGCATTCCAAAGGTTTCTCCATGTAATGATCTGCTAGGGAGTGTGGGGGGCCACAGCCCCGTCCTCCAGGGTGTGAAGCGGGTATGGAGGAGATCAAAACTCCAGACATCCAGAGGACCCCAGAACACAAGAGACCATGGAAGACCAACAGAGGGGCAGCCGCGCCACTGTTCCAGTAAGAGCTGAGGAGAGTCCCAGATGAGGGCTCACTCAGCAGCCGCGGAGCAGAAGCCAGGGGGGTTGCAGTGACGCGCCCGTGAGCTCCGCCGGCCCCCAGCTGCGCCTGAGTGACCGAGCCCTAGGCCGAGAGGCCGGGGGCACCCCACCTCCAAAGGGGCCCGAGCGAGCCCCAGGCCCCAGGCCCCGACAAGCGGCCGCCAAGGAGTGAGCCGGTGTGTACCCGGACGCCCACCCCCAGACACAAAGAACCACCAACACACCGACACCTGAGGGAGTCCGCCACCGGCAGGGGAAGTGGTGGTGGGTGGAGATAGGCCTCCAAACCTTGGAGGGCCTGAGATGTCCCCAGAGAGGTGGCGCCTGATACCCAACCTGACATATAGACACAGACATACAGGCACACACAGATACAAACATCCATTCCCACCCTCATGCTCTCATATGCACTCACTCCACACTCAACCAACGTGGAGACAGACATAAAGAGACGCTGTACACACGATCACACTCCCCAAGCATACTCTACAAACCGGGTCTAGGTACCCTTGCCCCTGGAGGGGGGAATTGCACCCAGACCCAGGTGGTGTTACCCTTTTCCCTGCGGTGGGGAGAGGCAGACCACCCCGACTCCGCAGCAGCAGGGAGGCCCCACACCCCAGACCGCAGTCGGACGGCCAACTCCTCCTACTAGCCCCCCCGCTCCAGCAGGCCGCAGAGAATGGGGGTGGGAGAAGACTCCAAACCTCCCTCCACCCGCTCATTGTAGTGTTGATGCATATGTGTTCTAAGGTGCAATTAAAACCCAGGAGGGCATGGAGCTACCTGCCAAGGAGCAGCAGGTAAGCGCATGGTCCCTCCTGCTAGCCCTCAATGACTAAGTGTATTTAAAATTGAGAGGTGGGCAACGACGTCAGGGGTGAGGTATACACCCTGATGGTGATTTGGACTCCGTGATTGTGCCCACCCCCAAGATCCTATATGTATGTGTAATGAGAGTGTGAATAATGTGAATGTCTAAGTTGTGGGATAAAATTGAGGCAGAGGCAGCCAGAAGGGGACAGGGGGGGGGGTAGCCTCCTCTGCACCCTGGTGACATACCCCCACTCCAAGGCCCTGCATGTGTGGGTGGTTGTGGAGGAGCGGGAAGAGGGAGGCAGCTGGAGATGGGGAGGGAAGGAAGGGAGGGGCAGGTAACCCCTCCCTGGGGCCAGCTCCCCCGCTGACCCCAGTAGGCACTCCCACCCTCCGCGACCCGCCAGGGAAGGGGGGCCCAGGCCCATCAGACCGGGGCCCAGTGCAGTAGCGCCCCCCGGCTCCACAGAGCCCTGGACAGTCCACCCAACCCCACCACAGAGAAAACTGCACCCACCCCACCAACCACACATCTTCCAGACTACATAAGACGGTAAACGCCCAGGCTGAGATCTTCCTCCACCTCTCCTGTATCTCCCCCTCCTGCAGAGAGTTCCTGAGAGAAGAAAGCTCCTGCCAGATGTGACCATCCCCCCCACCAGTTGAAGAGCCCCCCAGGCGGCTCGATGCACCGGCGGCACCCTGCTCCAGGGCCGGGCCCCCATGCACCCACCCGCCCACAACCCCGGCAACACACCAACCAGGACCCGAGCCCCCGAGGCCCGGCCCGGGCCCCCGCCCAGAGACGGAGCACCCCCAGAACCTCACGCCCATCCCGGACCCACCCAGGGGCAGCCAGGTTGCCAGGTCAGTAACCCACGTCCGTCAGCACAGACCCTCCCCTAGCCCCGCTGCACGCAGCCGCGAGGAAACAGTCACCTGAGAGCCAACAGAGCCCCCAACCGGACGTGACCGCTACCCCGGGTTGAGCCCCCCAAGGAAGATGCCTCCGGGGAACCCCCCGACGCCCTAAGCCTGTCCCTACCCCCTCACCAATCACAACAGTGAAGGCGGGACCAAACTATGACCCCCACCCCCACTAGGTGATGGAGCTGATAAAAGGGGCCCAGAGCAATTGATCTGATGTGGTGGCAGAGGCTGTGTCAAGACTAATGTAATCTAATAGATAATTTCTATATTGGTTAGAATTAAGATTGTTTTTATTTTTCCAGTTCATGAGGACTGTTTTCTTGGCTATGCATAGGGCAGTGAAGATCATATGGGCTATATTCTTTTCTGAAGTGACATTATCTAAGCTGCCCAACAAACACACTAAGGGGGAAGTTGGAATGTTACATTTCAGACACTTTGATAAGTCTTCACATATCTCGCGCCAAAACTTTTGCACTGGTGGACAGAACCAAAGAGCGTGGATGTAATTGTCTGGTGTATTGCCTTGACAGTGTGAGCAGTTGTTGGAAGATGTAAAGCCCATCTTAAACATCCGATGACCTGTATAGTGCACTCTATGAAGTATTTTGTATTGTATTAATTGCAGACTGGGATTTTTAATTAATTTAAAAGTTTTTAAGCAAATCTGAGACCAGAAGTTTTGGTCTAGGTTGACTGATAAATCTGCTTCCCACTTTGCAGTAGGAAGGGATATTGATTCATCTAATTTAGAAAGTGTTCTGTATATTTTAGATAATAATTTGGGGGATTTAAGAGTAAGAAAATGTGCCGCACTTAGTGGTGTTTGTAATTCCACTTGACTGAGGTTAAATTTCTTTTTTACTATGGATTTAATTTGTTGATATTCTAAAAACCTTGTCTTGTTGATCCCATATTGTTCAACTAGTCTGTCAAATGGAATAAATTCTGTTCCCTCTAATATATGTTCTAAGTATTTAATTCCTTTACAACTCCATTCTGGGAAATTAATCATATTATTGTTTTGTAATATGTCAGGGTTATTCCAGATAGGTGTACGTTTGCATGGGATTAATGAAGACTCCGTTATTTTTAGAAACTCCCACCATGCTGTTAGAGAAAAGCTGATGTTGATACTTTTAAAGCATTCATGTCTTTTGATGTTTGAGCTAATAAATGGTAGGTCTGAAATCTCTAGATCCTTGCATAGTGCCTGTTCAACATCTAGCCAGGGCTCAACTAAGAAGGTATGTTTTAACCATTCTGAGATGAACTGAAGCCTGTTGGCTAAGAAG